GGCCATCACACAGCCCATTATACCAACATCAACTCCATCAACCAATCAAGAGGCAGCAGCGCAGCCAACCAGCCCAGCACACCAGCCCCCACCACCAGTATTTATAGAGAGACGGCAGCTCCGATCACACACTGCTTGCACTGGCACGAAGCTAAAAGCACCAGCCAGAGGATGGCAAGTGGGACCTTGCCGAAATGTCGCCAAGATACTCTTAATCTTACACGGGAAAAGACCAGAACACACCTAGACCTACATATCTGCCATCATCAGGCTTCTATATTGTGTTCGTCTGTGAGTCAGACTTTCACAGCCGTTTCTGTTTTAAATTTGATGCTAGCCTATTGCTGTGCCAGAATGGCTTTTTCTTCACAGCAGTAGGCTAGCATCAAATTTAAAACAGAAACGGCTGTGAAAGTCTGATTCACAAACACTATACAGAAGCCTGATAATGGCCGAAACGTTGCTACAACTTTAACAACGTTCTGCCGAAATGTTGCTACAACTTTAAAAGCACAGCTATAATGACGTGGGAAAATACCTGAACAAAGCTGAATGCCATATATATAAATACCCGCGAAAACTTAAGAATAGATAGATAGATAGATAGATAGATAGATAGATAGATAGATAGATAGATAGATAGATAGATAGATATAGAAACGGCTAGTTATATAGAAATGGCTTGTTATATACTATATATCTTCTAGTTATATCGAAATGGTTAGTTATAGACTAACCTTTTAAAAGTATAGGGGTTGTTCTACTGTGCTAAAAAGAGTCAGAAGTCAATATTTCTTTTTTCCCCTTTTGTCCCTCATATTTTCTTTCCCCTCTCTTTTTCCTTCCCCTAATTTCCTATGTTTTATTTTCCTTTGTATTTGATACTTCAATGAAACAATAAAAGTCACGAGAGGAAGATGTGGGGAGACCTGGCCCATAGAATCACCAAGAGTCGGATACAACTGAATGGCTATCACACCATTATCCTCATCATTTGAAGGCAGAAGGACCTCGGCAAATTCCAGAGCTTATGGACCCACCCCAAGGATCCAGGCTGACCAGAAGACCCTGGAAGATCTCCACACTTACAGTAGAAGACAACCTTCAATCCCAGAAATTCTTAGCAAAGAGATTCTGAGCTGGGAGGATTTGAATCCCTGCTGGAGGAGGCTGTGTTGCATTTCAGCAATCGAGAATGGTTGGGATCCTACCTTCATGGCAGCCCGGCAGTTGTCTGGCACGCGATCCTCATATTTCCCCGTGATGAGTCCACATGCCAGCGGAGACCAAGTTATGGCTCCCACACCTGGAGAAGGTAAATGGGGCAGGTGGGGTCAGGATGGACAACAGAACCTCCTCTCACTGAATCTTCAGGTATCTCCCACCGCTTTCTCTCAATCTTATTGTGACTCTAAAACATGGGATCTCCAGATCCTTCAAGCATCAGCCAGTTTAACCCATTAACCCTGGGCTAAAATAAGCCACCTTCACTTCTGCAATGTACTGTATTTAGGAATCATAGTTTGCCTCTTAGGTAGGAGGCAAACCAATTGTGAAACCCCGTAAAAACACAACTAAATTCCTTTTGTGTTCATCTGGGTCAGAGGACTCCAAACTTGGCAACTTCAAGACTGGTGGACTTCAACTCCCAGAATTCCTCCTCCAGTCATGTTAGCTCAAGAATTCTGGGAATTGAACTCCAGAAGTTTGAAGACCCTTGATCTGGGTCAACGTTTCCCAACTCTAAGAACTTTAAGATGGTTGGACTTCAACTCCCAGAATTCCCCAATCAACATGGAGGTCAATAGCCTCGGCAACTTTTTAGATGGGTGGGCTTCAATTCTCAGAATTCCCCCGCCAGCTCTTTTTTTCGCTTTGCTGAATGAAGTCAAGATCTATTACGCTTACTTGCATACCCTCCATCTATTAAGAAAGTTACCTACGTGGCTGTCTGGGGAATTCTGGGAGTTGAAGTCCACAAGTCTTAAAGTGCCCAAGGTTGGAGACCCCTGACTTAAGACGTGTGGACTTCAGCTCCCAGAATTCCCCAGCCAGTTCTTTTTTTTGTTTTAACTTTGTTGAAATCAAGATATATTACACTTATTGCATACCCACTGTCTATTAAGAAAGTTACCCTACGTGGCTTCCTGGGGAATTCTGGGAGTTGAAGTCCACAAGTCTTAAAGTTGCCAAGGAAATATTGATCTGGGTCAAACCAGGGTTGCAATTAATAGACAGAGTGGAGGACAAGGAAGAACTATCATGCAGGAAGGGAAAATACAAGGGAAAAGGGTTCCTTTCCTGAGACCCCCCTCCTCCCTTACCCCTCCTCCCCAAGCCCCTCTTCCTCTTTCTTTCATACCTATCTTGTGATACAACTCTGGCAACTGGGACTCCACTTTTTCCCTCTGGAACATATGATATTCAGCCTGTTCGCACACAGGTGGGATGAGGTTGAACTGCCGGGCTACCGAGTAAGCTTCCTACGTAACAGAGAAGGAAGAGTGGAAAGGAAGAAGAGATCGGGTGGGAGAAAGAGCGGGACCGACTTACCGTGCCCGTTTCACTCCCCGACCCCCCCCAAAGTTCAGAATTTACCATAATCTCCATTGCACTCCAGCGCGAAGTCCCCCAGTACATAGCCATGCCTTGGTTGATGACGTAAGTCATGGCTCGGACGATCTCTGGCAGGAAAAATGAAAATATAAAGAGAGATCAGCGCTAAAGTATAATTTCCCCTCTTTTTTTTTGTTTCCCCCCCCCCCCGCCTCACATTTCAAAGATGGGAAGTCTTTCATATTCAGAAAAACACGTCAGGGAAGAAAAAGTGAACGAAGGCAAGTAGCTTGATGCAGAACATCGTCTGAACAGAATGACAAGAGTCGGAAGCAGTGGTGGGATTCAGCCGGTTCGCAACGGTTCAGGAGAACCGGTTGTTAACTTTCTGAGCAGTTTGGTGAACTGGTTGTTGGAACAAATGATTAGGATAGAGAGCCGGTTGTTAAATTATTTGATTCCCACCACTGGTTGAGAGGGACCTTGGAGGTCTTCTAGTCCAGCCCCCTGCTCAAGCAGAGACCCTAGACAATGTCAGACAAGGGATTGTCCAGGAGAGACTGGACAATCTCTTGTCTGACATTGTCTAGGGTCTAGATCTAGAGAGACCCTAGACAATGTCAGACAAGGGATTGTCCAGTATCTCCTTGAAAGCCTCCAATGTTGGAGCACCCACAGCTTCTGGAGGCAGGCAGTTCCACTGGCTAACTGTTCTCACTGTCAGGAGATGTTTCCTTAGTTCTAGGTTGCTTCTCTCCTTGGTTAGTTAGCATCGGTCGCTTCTTGTCCTACTCTCTGGTGCTTTGGAAAAATAGGTTGGATATCTTGAGAAGTTTTTCATCTCGCTCTGGTGGGAATCACATCCTGACCCGCAGACAGGAGTTGAAGAGCTTTCCCCAACAGAGCCACGTTGATATGAGTGGACTTCAATTCCCATGAGTCCGCCCTGGATGCTGAGCCTCTGAGGAGTTGCAGTTTCTCCCATCCAGAAGTTGGAAAAATCAAGCGTTTTTCAAACTTGGTCACTTGAAGATTGGTGGACTTCAATCCCCAGGAATAGTTGCCGAGATTAAAAGACACCGATTTCAGCGACTGCTTCAAAATCTACAGCCTGAATGTTATATTCATGGAGGGTATCTAAGTTAAGATAGCAATCACAACCACAAATCCATCTTTATGTTTCTGATCGCCTTTGTGGACATTTCTATTTTTAACAAAGTCTAGGAAATTGGAAAAAGCTTTGTCCCAAGTTCTCTGTAGACCAGTGTTACAAAGTCCCAGCAAGCAACGTATTTATGCATCAACAGTGCTTGTTTTAGTGAATGAACCCAAACATTGTGGTTGATTCAACAAACCACAGTTTGGACAACACACACACATACACCCTGAGTTCAATGCATGAATGCACGAGTCCATTATCACCTTACATTTTCAATTTAGCATCACCTTATGGAAAACAGATTAGATTATTTTTTTTTAGCATTTTCCATAAAGAAAATAATCACCACCTCTTTTTAATCATTTTTCCTTAAGGAAAATCAAAAAAATGGAAGAGGAAGTGTGAAATACATTTCAAAGAACATTGCAAAATGTGGGTGAGTCCACTATTAAAAACAACAACAACCAGGCAATAAAAGGTTTGCATTTAAGGACAGTCAGAAAAACACCGTATAAGGCTGCCAACCCTTTCAACTCCTCGTCCTTCATCACAGCTTGTTTTTAACCCTAAAATATGTTATTTATTTTTGACTTAGTACAGGTGGTCCTCGACTTACAACCACAACGGAACCCAAATGTTTGGTCGCTAACTGAAACATTTCTCAAGTGAATTTTGCTGAATGAAGTTCTTTCCACAGTTGTTAAGTGAATCACTGCAGTTGGTAAGTTTGTCGCACGTAACTTTGAATGGTCACTAAATGAACCATCATAAGTCGAGGAACACCTGTGCTTATTACACAACCAGGTACTTTCCAAGCAGAACGACGTTTCTGCTATCAGGATTTCTGGATTATTTAAATAGTGGTGGAAATGCTAAATAGCAGCTAAACCGGAGGTGCCTCTGGTTGTTGGCAGCACAAGCCACACACAACTCCAGACAGAGGGCCCCCACAAAGCTTGCAAACTACACACTATGCATGTCTACTCCCTACACGGAAGTACAGCGGGACTCACCTAGATGAGTAAGGTGGAAGTAAGCCCCACTGAAGTCAGTAGGGTTTCCTCTTTGGGAAAACATACAGAAGGGTAAGGAAGGGTTTGTTAACCTTCGTCCCTTTAAAACTTGTGGACTTCAACTCCCAGAATTCCCCAGCCAGCCAGTCATGGTGGGTATGTAGTAAGCGTAATAGATCTTGACTTACAGCAAAGTGA